CGGTGCGAGCATCCCCGCGTCGGACCCCGCACGCCCTATCCCGTTCCGCTGCTCCCGTGGGGTCCCTCCCGCAGCATCCGCGGTGGCGGGTGTGCAGGTGCCGCGGACGAAACCCCGACACCCCTCGCACACCCCTGACGGGGAGGGGACGGGACCCGCCGGGCAGGTCTGGGTCCCCACTCGTGCTCCGTGGGCTCCTCGGGAGGCAGCCGTCCCGGCGGAGGACGGGGTCCGGACCGGCGGGTGGAAGTTGGAGCGTGTTGGCGTGTTCTCCGCGCTCTGACACTTCGCAAACTTCCAGCAGCGCTCCGGCGTGCCCGCTGGCTTAAAATGAATGAATTTCTCGTTACGGGTTCTTTTCGCAAGCGCTCGCCGAGCGCCGTCCCGGCGTGGGGGAAGCAGCCCCGCAAGCGGCGGGGATTTCGTTTTTTTCAGGGGTTTTCGAGGCTGCAAAAGGCTCGAAGGTCGCGCGCGTCTGTGCCGCGTTTGAAAGTGACTCGGGTGTTCGATGTTTGCAGTTGCAGCCGCCTTTCGCGGTGCCGGCATCCTCGCAGCTAATTTTAAAGTCATTAATTGGAGTGCTGCGCTCGGGAGAAGGGATGCGTTCCCGCAGCCGGTGGGATGCAGGTGGGACGCGCTGCTGGGATGGGAGCGCTTCCCTGGTAGCGGAGCGTTAAATGAGCTGAGCTCTTGATCTTGGGTATTTCACGCTGTAACTGGGGAGCGGAGATCCAGAAGGGTTGTGCACACCTCATGGAAGTGCGCTGTGGGATGTTGCAGTCTGAAAGCAGATGGTTTTGTGTATTCAGATGTGTGGCAAGTTGGAAGTTGTGCTGACTGAAATAAAACTGCTTTCTTTACTGCAGGTAAATACATCTTGAGAGAGGTTTAATTATTTCTGATTTATGAAACAACTTGGGTAAATTATTTACCTGTGTTTTTTTTCTAAACCAGGATCAATTTCCAAGTTCATGTAATTTTGTGTGAAAAATGAGTAGTACATGTCTATCATCAGGATATTGTGAACTGAATAAAGAGTGGTTTATGGTCATTATGCTCAAGAAAATTTAAATTCTTTTCCCTGTTTTGCTATTTCTTCTTCTCCCTAACTGCAAATGAGACTCCAACTCTTCCTGCAGGTCTGCTTTCTATAATCCGGTCCTGCTGAAGTTTGAACATGCTGTTTGAGCAGTGGCAAGTGGAAGAATAACGGAACATAAAAACTTCAAACTTTTGTTATTCTAGCCCCTGGAATTTCTGGGTTTAGAAAGGGTCATCTTTTAAACTATTCAACCAAATCACACATTTCTAACTTCTGCACTGTCCAGAAGAACCTCCTGTGGCACTGTTTGAGAAGTGATCCTCAGAGTTATCTTATTGCAGAGGCTTTTTGGTTTGTTTTATTAATATTTGACAAGAACACCAGCATCAGGGGGAGGCATGAGGGAGGTGAGAACAGACTATCTCTTTGTTGTCTCCGTTTTAAATAGGTCTGGCCATGATCTGCTAGCTCACACATCTGTACAGTGCCAGAGGAGGACAGGACTGATGGTCTGTAGCTGGTGATGATACCTTCCTTCTCTCTAGCTTAATGCTCAGCTATGTTGCTAACCCATTTCAGTTCTGGCTGTGCAACTGAAAAATTTGCAGTGAAGGCTCAAAATCAGCATTGCTGAGGACTGGGGAGTGCAATAAGAGGAATGCAAGGAAGGTAACCTACAGCTCTGCTGCTGCCTCTATTCTGTGCTGGAAGGTCTTATCTGTGTAGCACAAGTAATATCGCAGAAAGCATGTAGAGGTGAGAAATCAGGATAACCCTCCAATGACCTGCTTATCCCATCACCTGTATAACCTGGTCAGCATGTAATCAGGCTCTGTATACTTAATTGTTTAACATTCAAATTTAAACAGTCTGCATAAAGAATGAAGCAGTCTCTCCTTGTTGTTACCTCTGCTAAGGGTTTTCTTAGCTGGCGTGACAGCTAAAGAAAACTTGAAAGACTCTTAAGTTCTTACACTAAAAACATCTAACTTCACCTCCACCTTCAGAAATAGAGAATAGAGATTGTACCTCTTCAGCAGGCCTGGTCTCTGCAGCTTAGTAGGTGAGTACAAATCCTGATTCCCTACTCACTTTATGTGCTCTATCATCACGGCCTGGGGTCGACTGGCTTCAGATGACAGAGGACGTTCTTGCCTAGATTTCGTTTGGCAATATTGAGCAGCGTGCTTTAGGATCCTTGAACATCATCTGCGGCAGTGTTAATTTAAAACATGGCTCATTGTTTTTTAAAAACAAGTTCTATGTAGTAGGGGGTGATATTTTGACTTTAGTTCAGTTAAGTGCTGTGGGTTGCCCTCAGAGGCCAGAGCTGCAGCTGCTCCGCAGGAGAGGTCCTGATCTAAAATCAAGGCTGAGTGGTCCCTGCCCACCTCAGGCAGAGCTGTGCCTGCTGGTGGGACCACACTCTGGGGCTCAGCTGCTTTGGCATCTCATCACTACCAGGTATGGCTTTGCTGGCCTGGTACATCACCTCCCTCCATCCCTTGTATTGCCCTCTGGGACTTTTTCTGAACCAATTTAGTTGTGAGCTTCTTTTATATTTATTTTTTTTTTCCATGCTGGTTCGGTGCTGGATGCAGAAGTGTGAGAGCTAACATGGTGAGAGGGAACAGAGAGCAAGTGGCCAGGGTAAGTGGTAGGAGCAGAACCTTCGTTTTTCAGTGGCAGGTAACTGATTAGATTAGCTCAAGTTATAGCATGCAACTCCACCCTCTGTGCAGAAACTTTGCCCGGCAAAAAAACAAAAATTACTTTTTGCTGGCTTAGCTGTAAAGTTGGCTTACTGTATGATCCTCAGAAGCAGAATAAAGAGAACAGGTTAAAGAGAAATGGAGTCATTTTACTTTGGTGCACATGGAGCCTCTTATCTGGTTTGGCCACAGCATATAATTTCACTCTCACTGGTGGTGGCCTGACCTAATCTGCTGACTACTCTGAAGCCGATCAGAGAATACTGCATGGAGTAGTGTTTGCAGAGAAGTGGGGACAGTGCTGCCTTCAACTGATGTGGCTTTTTGCAGGATTAATGTCTGTCTACAGTCATGTTTCAGCTGTGCTTCTCCAGGTAAAAGCAGCTGGAGGTGTATATTTTATTCTGCATGCTGTTAAAGCAAAGGTTTTGGGCTGTAAAATCTGAGCTTTTCAAACCAAAGGATAATTGTGACTCTTAGGAATCTGTTTTGCGTTTAAGTTTTTATTCTTGAAACAGGCATTGGGATGTTCCAGCTGCAGAGTCAGTAAGCATATGAAATGCTACCTTTGCCTGATGTTCTCCCACTCTAAGAAATTGAAATGGAGTCACAGGGCTCTGCCATATTTCATTTACCAGGGTCAAATCTTTCTGTGGCGTGTATCTGCCTCAGGTGGCCAGGGTTTGGGCTGGGGGTTAGGAAACTAATTTGTTTGAAGGGTTTGGCCTTTTAGGGAGCTGCTCTGGCAGTGTCCTGCTGAAAATGAGGATGTGCTTCGGCTCACAGATGGGGCAGATGTCTTAGGTTTTGCTTTTTTGCTTTTGAGATCAGCTCTAAGGTAGACACCTTGTTAATCTTTTCAAAACTGTAGCTTGCATGTCCCCACAGCTGTGCTGGATTTAGATTAAGGTGTGTAAGGATGGGCTCTGGCACCTGTAGTGGGGAGATGCTACCCTGGATGAGCAGCTGGGGAGTTGATATGACACTTGGAGGGGGGAACTCCAGATGATGACACAAGAAGACTGGGAAGATAAGCTCTAGGAAAAGAGAAAAAGCAGACTGGGGTTAACTGGGACCGAAGGAGAAGACTGGAGCAGGAATTATTAGGAGCTCTGAGGGGGCAGCTGAGAGCTGAGGTCAGCTGGTTATCAACCCTCCTGTCTCCTGTGGTAGGGAATGGGGTGAACTGAGCTAGCAGTGAGCAATGGCATGGCTGGAAGAGGTTGAGGGAAGACGCTGAAGGTAATCCTAGGAACAGGAGCATGTGGGAGAGTCTGGTTCCTGCAGGGCATTTCCAGAGCCTGCAGTGGAGCTGGGAGACCCCAAGGCATTCCATTCTGCTATTGGCACATAAATGAGAATCTGCCACTGGCACGCTTGCCACCAATACCTAAACTGCAGGAGAGTGATGTTCACTTCTGTGCAAAAGAAGGAATGTGCCTATGTGACATCTCTGTGGTTTTGCCTCCAAGTTGCCGATGGAGAGTTTATGGCAAGTTGTGTGTCTATTTTCATTTGATTTCTTGAAATCTAAGATTGCATCGCTCTTACTGTATGATGTGACTGATAATGCAGAGTTAATTGATTTGAGCAATATGAGTATTCATTATAAATGCATTTTCATCAATGACTGGTTGATTGTGAGATCTTTTGAACCTATTTTCTTACGGCAGCAAGGCCTGTGTGACGTCACTCTGCATGTTTTTGTGTTGTCGTTAACTGCTGAGTCCGATTTCAAACCTATTAGTGGGGGAAAAAATCTTAATCCTTATGGTTTCTTTGGGGTAGCTGGGTGGTAGCTGTAGTTCTTCCAGTGGTATTGATGCATTATCTTCCTGCAGAATTCCTACCTCATCTAGCGTACAGGAGAGCCCTGAATAAATCAGAGGTCTGGTATGAAGTGACTAAGACGTGTATCCTGTTTCAGATGTCAGAAGGTTGTGGCTGATGAGACATGGGAAGATCTTAGGGCAGTAAAACACTGTCCTAGCAAACGTGATGGCTTGATCGTAGTGCCTTGCCTGCATCCTGCACAGGTGATCAGTAGAGACACAACTGAGCTGAATGTCCAGAGTGAACTTTTGAGATGGCTTGAACTGATTTGAGGTTTCACGACCCCTGAAAAGGGAAAGTCCTATTCCACTTCTTTCTATTGCAGAAAACTACCCATGTAACTATTT